CCATGTCCGGATGGGACTCTCCTTTGCGTGTATGGCAAGTTTAGCGTTCGGATATGAAGATTCCTTTCTCTGTAAACCGACTCTGTACAGCCCTAGCCCCCTTCGGTGTCTATATAAACCGGGGGGTTTAGTCCGTAGAGGCAATCATAATCATACAGGCTAGACATCTAGGGTTTAGCCATTACGATATCGAGGTAAATCAACTCTTGTAACTCCTATACTCATCAAAGTCAATCAAGCAGGAAGTAAGGTATTACCTCCATCAAGAGGGCCCGAACCTGGGTAAACATCTTGTCCCCTGCCTCCTGTTACCCTCCATCCTTAGACGCATAGTTCGGAACCCCCTACCCGAGATTTGTCGGTTTTAACACGACAATGGGGCAAATGGATGCGGCCGCGCGCTGGGCGCACGGCCACCGCATCCTAGAACAAGCCCGAATACGACCCCATCGCCCTACCCAAACAGACTGATTCCGGGCAAAGGGATGTCCATTTGGGGTCGCGCGGTGGAGTTGGCCTAAGATAGGCAAGGAGGCAACTGCCACCCCCTCTGCACCCCTGCACTCTAAGATAGAGCAGGAGGCTGCTTCTTCCCCCTAGGCCCTAAGATAGATGAGATCAAACCTTCCTCGGTGCTTTGCGGTTGTTGCTTTCTTCTCCACCAAATCAACTTGCCCTAATTCAGTTTTCAGGTGACTAACGTGCAACTAAACTGGAAAACCTCACCCTACCATGTTGGAAACTGTGTGTTTTAGTTTTTGTTTATAAGTTTAATTTGTAATGTCTCTCTTTAATTAATTTAAAATCATATGAATATAGTGGTGCAAATCATTTTTCCTAGCTATTCATTTTTTATGCATGGGCTCTCCTACCATCTTCCTTAAGCAGCGAGCTCGCTCCTTCCTCCCCTCCGGCGGGGAAGTTGTGGCCAGCCGCGACGTCTCCAGCTTGAGCTCGGACATGGACAATGTCTAGTCTGAGCAGCATTAAAACGTAAAAGGCCTCCACCTGCACTAGCCTATCTTCTTTTTCGCCTCCGTCGACGATGCACATTCCGTGTTGGGCGTAGTCTACCGAGGCCTCGCGCCCTAGCCGGAACGTAGCTCACCTTTAATCATTGAAATCGTTCACCACAGCGCAAGGGATACTCACGCGGGAGATTCAAGACCTACCTTTGCAGAGTTTGCATATTACACCGACGACGTAAATTACTGCGTAACTTGCCCCCGGCATGTGATTAAAAGTAGAAACGATAGTCGGCATGATCTGTCCCCGTCAAGTCTGGCACTTTCCATACAGCCACCCACAACATCCACGCGATCTCGATTTGCGTCCAACAATGGCGGTCCCAATACATGCATAATTTGTACGGCTCCACTGCAGCTGAGTGGCCCAAACGCAATCCCTGGTCGTGCACATGGGGTAGAAGCACCATCCTACGTGCCAAGCCAGTGAAAGCCACATCCATATAAATAAATTCGGTTCTGCAAAAATATACTCATTTATTTATAGTAAATTAAAGTAAGTAATAGCGCATTGAGTGTCCGCCTTTTTTTTGCGGGGAGAGTGTCCGCCTCTTAATAATACTATACCAGACGAGTAGTAAAATGGCTATGTTTTCATAGATATAGTATTATACTAGATGTATTTCCACTACTTAATCGTGTAGCACGTCGATCGATTTTTTTTTGGAAGAGACTTTCTAACCAATGGATGTAATTGCACATTGGCATGACTAAATAATACTCCCCAATAACAAAATATAGTGCATCTTAGTTTTTTTAGATTTTTCTCCCATGCTATAGTGGATATTAGGAAATCGAGACACACTGGAATAATGCATGCAACAATATTTCTAACTAGCTCCGCCATCATGAAATAAATGAAGTGGAAATGACCCCTCCCAAGTCCTCTTTGGTATACGAATTAAAACTAAAACGCCCTATAATTTGGGAGAGTGACGATTAGTAGCAAAAACTTTGAAAAATTGTATATAGTTATCTTCCAAAGGCGCCAGAAGTATTTATTTCTTGTGGGTCATCAGTTGTCATGACATATTTATTTCTTCAATCATACTTATTCTTGTGGGACATCTATACTGTCCCGTTATATTTATTTCTTCTGTGTGACAACAATTTTGAATCTTCAATGTATCAAGCAGTAAAAATATTTCGACTTGCGTGGTTAGCACTAGAATAAGCACCAATATACCCAAGCAAAAAACTGGTTGTGCAATTGGGTATCATATTTAAACAATGACTAGCAAACGTGCCCATGCATTGCAATGGAAGAAAAAAATTATAGCGCAATATGCTAGAGCTTTGCAAGGACGGAACATCACATTTTTGTTAACAACTTCTAAACGTAAAAAAGAAAAGGAAACTCTATGATATTAGTTCATAGACATCCTCTATATGTTTGTGACCAAACGTCGTCTGGTGCAGTAGTATGGACCCTGCACTATCTCAACACAATATTGCCACTAAATAGTGCTTAATGAAATTTATACAGTTAGCCCGAGATTTTTTGTCATCTGATAAATCAAACTTCTTGATGCAGTCCTAAGTATTGTTACATACGTATCTGGTTAAGAAAATCGTAGGTTCAATAGAAGATAGAAGGTGCAGATACTTTGCATATCCTAAGGAGATCAGGCACAAAGTTCCTCTTGATAGCTTTCTTGTCTAGCGGTCAATATGGTGCCAAGCATTCAACACAATCATCTCATCGTCGTCCAAACAATTGTTCTTCTGGTCAAAGCAGGATTGTCACATGTGAAATTGCATCAAGCTTGCTTGCCTAGAGACCATGCCAACTTTCCAACAGTAAATTAGCTATAAACAAATTCATGCATGAATTGGCATTTTTGCTCACATATAGCAGCAAGCATCAAGCCATCGCATTAATTCTCTAATTCTCCATCAAACATAGGCCCTCGACCCTTGCCTCTATCATGTGGCCATGTGCATGCACGTGGATTGTCCCCTCACCAACCAATCAAAGACCCATCACACTACACCCACATGAATCCACACACGATCATATCTCCTCTACCTTTGCAGGGTAGATGTGCCCATGTCGTCTTGCAATGCAAGCCCCTTGCAAATTCCGGTGCAAATCCATCAAATACCAACAAACAACCTAGTTGTCGGGCTCAGACGTGAATTTCTATGCTTCTACAACCGGCACAAACCAACACTTCTCACGGATCCGATGAATCGAGCCCGCCTCACGCATCTCCAACGACCTGCCCATGGCCGCAACCAAGGATAAACTGTCACTGCCGCGGCCAAGGCCTCTCTCTTTGCCACCACGTCTGAGATCGCGTGAGCATCCATCAGTCCTTCCCCCTCCTCTGACGGAGCGGCCTCTTCTGATTCGCACATGTTGCTACTTGCAATCGGCATCTCTATGCTCAGCTAGCTCGGTGCCGTGCTAGCCATAGATGTTTGTTGGTATAGACTAGATCCCAGCATAGATGTTTGTTGGTGCAACATATACGAATTTATTAGTAAGTATAGATTAGATCCCAGCATATCCAAATTTAACAAACATTTTTTACCAACCCATTTCCCAACGAAGTCATATATGTTGTTCCCCTAAAAAAAGTCATGTATGTTGCAAAGTCACAAGTGATGCATGATCAGACAATGATCATAACAACGTTACATTGCTTGAGTTTATATCTTTGTTTTTGGGATTAAGCACTAAAGGCATCACATATAGCACCCAAATCCATTCATAGCAAATAAATCAAGAACCGAAGAATAATTCGCTCCGATATCTTCACCCTCCAATCCCGGGAAACACAATAATTGACATTATCAATTTTAAATCAACTACCCTCACATGGACCAGAACAAATTTCCTTGATTGAAGACTAACAACATTGAATGCTTAGATGAAGCACAACATCACAAGATCGTTCCAAAAAAGAAACTGATATGTCACAAAATAACTAAAATAAAATCATTTTGGTAAATAAGCACTAAGAACAACTATGCTCGCACTCTCCGGCAATCATCTTTGGGTCACTGCCATGCCTCATATTGCAACATCATCGTATTCCATGCCACCTCGTGTATGGTATCCACATCATAGGGCAAATGTCTTCAAGATCAACATGGCTTGCTTCCGTACTAACCACATCGCATGATATAGTTGAGAGATGATATTTACCCAAGAAAAGGTGTAAGTTGCATGCAAGCCCATTGGTTAGCATCTTGGCATATCTCATTCCTCACATGGATTTGTATGCACATCTCCAACTTCCACACCCTACCTCCCAGCTTCGGGTCCGCCGTGGGTTGTTAATGCCGACACACCTCATCAAGCTTCTTCGCATCGCTACTGTCCACTAAGGAGGATGATTGTTCATCGATGTATGATAGAGAGGGAATGCGAGAGAGAGCTATGGGGTGGGGGGGGTCTCTTACCTCTCAAGGGAGGTACATGTGGAAAATTGTGTTGTATTTCTCATCTATTTCCTTATATACAGACTTATGTAGACTCAGTTAATTTATTAATTGGCACATATGTGTAGACATTGGGACCACGAGGGTATGGCTACCTATAGCCTGAGCACTAGGAATTTTACAAACAATTTGGCAGCCACAAAGTTTGACTTCTAGAACAGATAAAATAGTAGGATAATAAGCGTTCTAAGTAGGCAAAAAACTAGAAAGATATTAAACATTGGTCCCTAAGAAAATCGCGTGGCATGAACAAATGTGCTTTAAGTGGAGACACACAATCAACATATGTGTTTATTCACGAAGGATACAACGGGCACCTGATAAGTGAGCAACAATAGACTACTCTTGAAGAGGAAACTAAAACCAAGAACAGTGGTGATGATGAAACGACGGCGACTGACAATAGTGTATGCATTGTCGGCGTGCAATGTGGGGCCACATCTACGCACAAAAACGGTCACAATGCTCGTCTCATCTGAGCTTTATTTTTGGCGAAACACATCTCCTAATTCTTGCTTGAACCGGTCAGTTCTTCTTGCAGCGTGGGCCGCACGTGCCGTTGATGGTGGAGCGCATGTCGGCACATCGGAACGTCTTGACACGGCCCGTCTGCACCGCGCGGCATGTGGAGCAGCCCTTGGGGCACTGAGGATGGGCGTCGTCACATATGTCAACCCCCGAGAACGACCTGCATTTGTCACAACACTTGGGGAAGTAGTTGGCTGCACGCATGCATGGCATGCTATCATATTAGTAATCACTTATAAGATATATAAGACATCAATGGAATTGCAAAAGGACAATCAAAGTTTGTTATGCAAAAAATAGAATAAAGAACATGAAAGACCACGAACCATTCACGTGTGCAAGGATTCCCATGACCAGGATGGCATGGAGGAGAAGGATCGCCACAAGCTTGGTGTTCTTCATGGTTGTTTTTAAGGTTTTTGAGCAAAGCTCTCACTTATCTCTTATTGTTGTGAGTGGAATGCTATGTTGTTGTTGTTGTTGGCCAGAGCTAGTAGCACATCTATTTATAGGCGTAGATTTAGCACCTTGCTTGGCAATCTGCTATGCATGCACGCCAGCAAGTGGGTGAGCAGGATAATAAAGTTCGACGCACAGAATGCATCACTACCCACAGTTTTTTCCACATGTTCAATGGACGTGCAAACTGGAAATTATTGGACTTTTATAGGCCAAATCTAGGCCTAGCTGGTTGTTGCATTTCTATCTATAACTTTCCAAAAACATATCTGTCTATACTGGGTGGAGAACTCTTGGAACATGATCTCTGAGTGAATCTTGCGCGCTGCTCATAAAACACCTCTACCTCCTCAAGCATAGGACATAAATGGACCAAGCGTGAACGCATGCAAAGCTTAAGGGTGTTGCTGAATATAAGCTGTTTCAGATTTCTTTTTGTCTAAGCGAACACCTTTTCAAATTCCGAAAGTTTCAAAGTGAATTGACAAGATACCTATCTGTTATGTAATTAAATGACTAGTTCAAATTCAATCTACACATCATTTTTGTAAGATAAAAACTAAGTATGTTGGTAATACTAGTAGTATTGTTTTGTATTTTCACTACTACTTAGGCTAGTCATGGTGAGGAGTAATTCAGATTCCTAACATGCATATGTTAAGTTGGCCATAGTGATGGTGTCTTAGCCGGTATCATGCACGGGGAACTAGCAACCACGCTGATGTGGCATACGATTAAAGAAGAGAGAGGGGGTTAGAGTAACATAGGTAGATGCCGTATCATAATATATGTTATCCTACTATGTGTCATGCATGATAATAAATAAGATCATTTATGATATTATGCACTATAAAAATAGTATAATACACTAGTATCATATGCATGCTAGTAGTATATGATACTACCCACTATGAGGAGCCTTAGGGACCTTCAAAGCTCCGGTATATGTCCAGATGTTGGTATCCGGACCACTTTTTGTCAATTTGTATTATCTAATGGGGGCCCCTATCAGTCTGTGGTGCGGTCCGGATGTCTATTTTCCCACATATACGCATACACACATACACTACCCCTATAAGAACCTCCTAGAGACTGATCTGACACATCACCGTGAGGGTGACGAAAGTCACCACAGAGCCTTCGTAGTCGACGGGAACGTCCCCTCTCCACTGAACGCACATTGCGGGAAGGTCTGGAATAAATCCAGAAAAATGCAAGCACCCATGTCAAGTCTAGGATTTGAACTCTGGTGGGCTGGGGATACCACTGTCCTTCCAACCGCATACCACACATAAATACACATCACATGCATGCGCCCTCCCCCCTCTCCTATTTCTCCTCCCAACGGGACAAACAGGGATTTTTTTTTGTGATTACGAATTGGATGACTCCCTCCCGCATCATGTACATAGATCACGTTCGGATAAAAAATGACATTTGCGGTGTTCATTTAGGGGTTAGCGTTGGCGATGCCCTTACTAGATACTATGTTGTTACCTCCGTAGTGGGTAGTGTCATATGTACGATAATATAGATATCTTCATTTATTACTTTTAAAGTGATTTTACATTCAGAAGTGCTATGATGGTAACATATTATGTTACTTCATTTGTTTTTCGACTTTAATTATTTGTCATATTATCTTTTTTGCATGTGTGGCATGCATGTTATTGCCTATATTACTCTGACTATTAGTTGTCTTAGTGAGGCAGTATTTTTGCTACTATAATATTCGTCTCCTATTCTAGTGTGCGTATGGAACTTCCGTTCAAATTTTTATAACATGGTACATACGAAGTATGTCTGTACATTATAAGAAATATATGTCTCTTCTTTTTTGGAAATATTTGACAGTGCTTCTGTGGCTTGGGAACACGGTAGTCTAGGAGAAGTGAGCTTTGTTCTCACTCTCTCTTCCCTGATGTTGCTCCGGGTTGCATCCGGGACAGTGTATACATTGATTTGTGATGTGAATAAACGAGCTGCCTTAATAATTAAAAAAGGAGTCTCGGATCACACATTATACTATCTAGACGGCTGCTACTTTCACATGTCTACTGATGCCCTTTACTCACTCATTACCTGCCTTCGCGTCATAAGACTGCCACGTTTATTAATAACGGACTCTCAAGGTATATAAATATGTGCCATGGTAGAGAAATAACGAGCTAAGGGCATCTTCAAAGCTGATTTTTAAACCGCATGCATCCGTATGTATCGTGTGGTCTGGACGTGTTTTGCCATCAAATGTGGTTATCTGTCCACTCGGATGTCTTTTTTTCACAAATCAAAAACAAACTAGAGGGTTTGTGGTGGTTTAGATCGTCGCCACGTAGAACTCCGAAACCCCCGGTCCACTTAAATCATCCCTCCCGGTATTAATGTTTTCTACTCCATCCTTGCTTCCCCTTGATTTGCCTCTGTATCCTCCTCCTCCGCCGCCGCCGCTGCTATACCTCTCCCGCCGCCGTGCCCAGCCATTGCCGGACGTCCTTAGGCCCACCCACGCGCCACTAGTCTTGTACAATGGCGTCGTCCAACTAGGATTCGTCCATAGCCGGGTACCCGGCCTCCGCCTCACCACCCCCCCCCCCTCCCCTCTCGACGCCGTCCATGACGGACACCACTCCTGGCAGGTGTTTAGTTCAAATGTCATTGAGCTTATGTTCGAACTTCATGCCGTTTTTTAGAGTGAAAGGGATGGTGGAAAACTCATTGAAGGAGGATGGGTTGTTGTGCGATTCGTGGTTGGTCATATCTATTGACATTGTAGGTTGGAGCAGAAGGGAGATCTTTTGATAAATGCTTTGTTTTATGTGCGAAAGCATGCAGCCTATGGCATACACATCATCCATGAACACAATTTCAAGTCCTTAGAGTATCAATGGTACATCATCTAGAGCTCCGTCAGAAAGTATTGTGCGCGGTTGATTAGCTAGAGGCAATGTGACCGTTGCAACTTGCAAGCGGTGACCAGGGAGACCATAAGTTTTGTTTCTTCTTGCTCTACATGTTGATTGGTTCATTCACTCGTTGTCATTCTATACGTTGTGTAGCCTGCACGCACTGCCGTGATGTAGTACAGGTTAGAGGGCAAATCGTTCACGCACATAAATTGTTGGATGAAATTCAAGGAGCAGTATGTGTGAGATAACATTATCCATCCATGAAAAACTTGTTGAACATCTGGTTAATCTCGTTGAATTTAAACTATTATTGTACTAGACATATTTAGATGTTATTTATGGATGATTTGTGTTATTTCAAAATTTGAGAATTTCGTCCTATTTGATGAAAATTGTCCGGTTAGTTTAAATATATTTTGAAATGGACACGGCTACAGTTGGATGGCTCCCGCATCTCTATCTCCGAACTGGTTCCTTTGTCTGCGGACGGATGCGGCGTTCGATTTGGGGTTAGCGTTGGAGACGCTAGGATATAGCACGTGTGCCTCCTAATTTTGTTTCTCAAGTTCAAATTATTCTTTTGCTAGTCCCATGTGTTTTTTCTTTTCTTTTGCTAGTCCCATGTGTTTTACTTTTGATGCTATGTCTTTCTTTTCAAAATTAACTCCAAAGTGATCAATCTCACTAAAACCGCGTCACGACAAGAAAAATAGGCACATGACAAAAATCGAACTACCTTTCTTCTCTCTTTTTTGAACCGGAACACACGTTCTTTAATTAGTAAAATCCTTCAGTAGAGAGCCTACCCTTGCATGCTCTGCAGTGCAGATTGCACGGACGCAAATAATTGCGGTTATAAACACGACTCTCACGCTCTATTTTTAGAGCATCTCTAGCCATTCGGCCCCTCAGCGGCTTGAAATAGCGCCGCCTGGGGACGAACCGGCTATAAATTCGGCATGGGACGGTAGGTTTTCCATCCGCCGCCCAAGATCGCCCCAGACGTCGCTTTTTAAAATCATACTTGCCCGAAATTCGGCCAAACATGACTCAAAATTGGATGAAATTTAGGCATTTCATTGATTTTTGTACATATTTAAGACATAATTCGAAAAAAAATGACTACTACTACACCGCCTTGGGCCTACACGCCGAAGAGCTTGCAGAAGGCGTTGTAGTCGTCGTCGCCGTCCTCCTCCTCCTTCTTCACACCGCCGCCGTCCTTGCTACACCTGTGCCTTGGGTCGCCTTGGCGGACGAGTTTGGTTCGCTGTCCACGAGAACGATGACACCGCCCTCATCGCGACCGCGGCGCAGGGCGGCGATCTCCTCGAGGGCGCGGCGCTGGCGCTCCAGCTCCAGCTGGACGTAGTCGTCGCACGCCCATTTGAGGGTGGCCTCCTCCTCGGTGGCCATGTCATTATACTCCTTGACGGCGACGAGCCCCGGCTCGGCCTTCACGGCGACGAGCCCAGGCTCAGGCTTCGGCTTGACGAGGCGGGAGGGGAGAGGAAAGGGGCCACCATGGGTGCGCCGCCCGAGTGGCGTCTCGACTGGCTCGGCCTTGACCGGGGCGAGTGCTGGCGACCCAGAGGAGCAGGAGCGGGAGGAGGAGGAGCCTCCCACCATGCGCCTCAGCAGCAAAGAAGAGCCGCCGCTGCGGTGAGGGACGGGGGCCGGGGCCGCCGGGTACTCGAGCGGCGGCTCATTGCCGCCCTCGAGGTGCTCGAGGAAGGTGTGAAGCGTGCGGCCGGGGATGCCCCACCACATGCGGCGCCCGTCAGTATTGTAGCAGCCCCTCACCAGCGCGTTGTTGGTGGAGGCGATTTGCTCCTCGTGGCAGCGTCAAAAGTACGCCGTCCACCAGGCATGGTTTCCGCCGGCGTACTCCGGTAGGCCCCGCACCTCCTCCGCTAGGGACGCCCGAACGCGCACGATCTCGGCGTCCCGGCGGTCGACGTCACTCGGTTGGGAGGGGGACGGGGACGCCTTCGGCGCTGAGCTTCCATGAGCCCGGCACACGCATGTCAGGCGGCG